CGACTGCCAAAATAGCCTGTATGCCCGTGCGTGTATGCGTGTACCACATATGACGCACGTCGCAGTCAAAGTGTTAAGCGATCATAACCGGCCCAGATATAGCCATCTAGGCACCTGTTTACAACCGAACCCTCAATAGAGTTATTGACGATAATGTAACGGTAGTTGGAAATGACAGTTTTCTTACGAGCAGCGGAAACTCTAAAGCCCTAGCACTCGTGTCAACTTTAAACACTTGATTTGTAGTAGTACGTGGCACATGTCTATGCAAACAACCGATTAGGTAGAATAACATGAGCACACCAGCCTCTAAGAAATCCCTTTTGGATTGCGTGAGATGCAATTAGCTGGATTCCGCGGCTAGCAACGCCACTGGGCTAAACGTTTTCATTAGGTCATATGTCCTTAAAAGCCGGTCAGGGAGCCTAACACCGAAACCTCAACATTGAGGGTTCTATGAGGTTATTTGAAAATGACAATTTCCTCACGATCAACGGACACGCCAAAGTCCTAAAACTCGTGTCAACCGTGAATATTGTATTTTTAGTAATACATGTTCATGCAAACAGTCATGCAGGTAGGTTAATATGAGCACTGCAGCGTTTGGGATACTCTTCAGGCTAGTTGCCTTTGAGGTTTTGGCAAAGTATTTTTCATGGTAGCTAGGGAAATACATGATTTTGGTGACATTTTTCAAACCATTTGATCGAAGATTTGATAAAGCTTTGCGTTTTTGTATTCTGTCATGTACAGTTGATTAGGATGGCAATGCTTTCGCTGTTTGTTGTGGCTAACGACATAAATGAACTAAACGTTTCCACTAGGTCACATATCTAGTGAGGCCGGACAGTACTTGTACTTGTTGCGGCTGCGATCATGAATGATCTAGTCGGCCTCGATGATGTCTCGTACGGTTCTTCTCCGCGCGCGACGATCCATGGCAGCAAACCTAGATAGTTCGAGCCATACTCTTTGCCAACGCCAGAGACCGAGTACCGAAGGTCCAAGAACCACTTCCATGCCCTGACGGACTGAGTCGAGCCAGATTTTGAGCTGATTTCCACTTCGACGTTTCCAATTAGGTAACGATTTCGGGTCGAGGGCAGTAACACTGAGCTCCTAGGGGTGACGGCGAAGGACCTGTCCAAACCACCTCAGTCGTCTCTGTTGGATTGCTCGGGATATCCTTGCGATGTTGTCGCAGCGAGTGTGGACTGTCTCATTTGAGGCGAATTCGGCGTGCTCCACTCACAGAATAGTCCTGAAGCAGTAATGGTCGAAGACTTCCGGTTTCCATTATCTTCCACGCGCGTAACCCACCATTCGCATCCGCATAGAAGAGCAGACCGTACAGATGCACAATACACGCGGACCTTTGTGGAGATAGGAATCTCACATCGGGTCCATAGGCACTTTCGAAGGCTGGAGAAAATTAATTGAGCTGCGTTAATTCGGGAGACAATGTCGTCCCTACTTCGTCCATTTGGTCAGTGAACTGTTCTCAGTTGATGTAATCCCAAGCATGCCTTTTTCTGTAAAATTACCGCACCTTTTTAGTACATGTTATGTAGCCCATACACGCATTCCTTAAATAGCCTTCAGAGAACCAACCTTGCTCAGTTTTTGAGTAAGGTCGAAAGGTAATGGTAACCTGTATGGTCACCAAAACAGGGCACGGAAACAGAAATCGCTCACAATACATGTAGCTCTGCGTCAAATCCCAGGAAATAAGGTTTAGAATTGTAACGAGGATTAGGGTTCTGTTTCGTGTTAGATTGGAGTTAAGGACATTATTTTATTAAGGTTTGGGTTCGGGTTAACTGTAGACTTTGGGTTTAAGGTGGTATTCGAGTTAGGATTATGGCTACGGTTTAATTTTACCATTGAAAAGTCGTATTGGCAACCAGCTGTTTTCGCTCATTTATCATCAGGCCTTTTGCAGTGACATGTAGGAAAACACACAGGGTAAAATGGACAGCTATGTACAGTGTTTATATAGTTCTTGTGG